CAGTCATCCAGAGAAATGAACACCTTCATTTTTGCAGACTTCAGAATAATTTTATATATTTACCTCGTAGGCTCTTCTGGAATTCATAAATCACACTTAATGAGAAGTATTAGCACACACTTACTGTAATTACATGATGAATGTTTGATTTCTGGCTTACAGCCTGAAAAATACATAGATTTCTGTGATCTCTAGAAAGGTAAAGATGAAACCTCATGTTTTAATTAGAGGCTAATAGCTTTAGTTCACTGCAATGCAAAGGCCTTTGGTTTTTTAAAAGCTTTCCAACCCAGCTGAAAGTCTGCTATTCAATTAGTCTGGAGTTATACATCAGCTGATCAAGCAATGACAGCCTAAGAAGCTATTGCTTTCTCTGTGAGAGCTTTTACTTGGGGGGAAAAACGCACTGCTTTTCCATCCTCTGGCTGCACTGGTGCTGCTAAACTGCTGATGAAGACTGAGCTCAGCAGGTCCTACCACTGCAGCTACACAGAGCCAAACCCCTGAGCCTGCCTGGATTTCACCAGTGAGCACTGCTGGAGCTGCTGCAACTCTGCGAGGAAAAACCAGAAAATTTCATCTCCACATGAATTTGCAGAGTTCTTAACAGAAATATTAATATTGGACTAAATGATGTATGACCAGAAATATGTGTATGTGAAAGCACCAGAATGATAATTAACAGAGAAGCCTATCTGGATAGTGAGGGAAAAAAATCTCCTCACTGGCTTAATTCTACTGTGGTCAATCCATCTTTGCAAACTGGCTGCTGCTCAGCTCCCAAAATCCACTTGTCCTGCAGTAATCAGGAGGGCGAATTTGTCCTCCTCTGCCTGGTTGTGTATTTTCTCACTACAATTAAACAAGACTTGCAGCTGCAGTAAATATTTGTGCTGTCACAGCTCACATATGATAATCACCACAAAGCCAACTTCAGCAGGGAATTCTAGTCTAGTCTGTATCTGGGCTGATATTTGTAGTCTAATACAGATTCACTAAAGCCAGGAAATTCACAGAGTAAGAGGAGAAACCCAGTGTAACCTCACTTTTCCTGGAAGATGTAACAGCATTATCCATACACCAAGGCAGCCTCGAGAGGCTGAATTTAGGAAATCTAATTGCCACTAGATGGCACATCTCAATTACTAATCCATGTTTGAATTCAGGATTGCCTTTTAAAAAAAGAAAATAAATATTCCCTCTTTGCTAACATAACACTTTGTGTTGCTTTCTATTTTGCAATCAGAAAGCTTAAAAAAAACACATAGGGGAAAAAAAAAAAAGAGTTTTATACCAGCCTCCCTTGAGATGAACACTTCAGCTCATTTCTGGCTCTCTATTGCCAGCAGTCACATGTGTTTCAGACCAACCTGCAAACCTATTGCTATCACTTTGAAAACAGGGACCTGTCACCTCCCAAGAAGTTCCAAGAGCATCAAACCTGTTAAATAACAAGAACAAACAGAATGCAAGTCATTTCTTCCTGTTTTACATTAGTCATCTGAAAACCTACAGGAGTTAAATTTATTATAATAAACTAAGAGCATGCTACTCTGTGGCATTGAATACAAATCTTCTCAGGAGCTCAGAGCAGTGGGGTTGGACTTATAAGCTAGACTGGTCCATACAGATCTCTAAACTGCTTGGACCTGATTTCTGTTGGTATCTGTGTGACACACAACCCCTTTATAGCACAGTGAAGGCTAAAAGATCATAGTTCTAACTGGTTTATCATTTCTAAGGATAGAACAAAAAGTGTTTCAAAGAAAACTTCAGGAAACAGAGTAACAGAGCAGAGCACAGGTTGAGACTCACGTGATCTAAGCTCCATCCATGTCTAATACACCAATACCAGGGATAAAAATCAATCCACTACCTACGTTTCAGCCCAAAATTTATGAATACCTGTAAAATGAGGGTCATGATATTGATGTTTGAAACCACTCTGAGACTTGTAATGATCTGTTTAAACACTAAATATTACTACAGATGAACTGGAACCCTCATCTTTCCTATGGCCTGCTCTGCAATCAGGTGTCACCTCCTTCCATTCTGGGTCTGAACAGCTGAGCAGACCATGGCAAGCTCCATCCTGCTGGTTCTTTTGGAAAGACTGAACTTAACTTGTGAAATAACCAGAAAATTGCAAAAAAAATTAACTGCATTCATTAAAAAAATAGTATTTTAAAACAGATACACAGAGTTTGTACATCTTAAAAAGGTTGCAGTGTGTGCAATCTGTCAATGAAACTGAAAACCCTCTGATTTCAGGCTTGGCACTACGAAACTCTGACAAGGTTAGGAGTGCCCACTTACCATTCACAGCCATCTCTCTCTCACATCACTGAAGAAGTGTTATCAGATGCTGAGAACAATCACTGCCTGTACTCCACTGAATTTATCAATGGCAAATGTTACCTTTAGCAGAAAATTAATCAAATGTACACAGAAGCAACTTGGAGTTTAAAGCTTTACCATTTAAACCTTAACTTCTTGAAACCTCACCACACACAGAGAGACAGATCTTTATTTCAGGCAAAAAAAAAGAGATGAACTTATCAGAGCAGTTTCACTTGGTTTTACATAAAAAGAAGGCACATCTGTACATTTTTTCTGCTTACAAATTCGTCTTACAAGTGCCTTGAAACCAAATGTGAACAACTGGCTGAGACATCCAGCAACATGGCATTTGGTGCTTATAGTAATAACTGCAGCTGGCACATCACCCCACACCACCACTGCTGCTGCTGCCAACTGCTGGCTGCCCAGCACAAGCCTGGCTTAGTTCTTAAAGGGTTCGTTTAATTTAAAGCAAAACACAGATCACTATGATGCCTCTTATGAATATTTTAATGAAAACAGAGGACCAGCTGTTCAGCTTCAGTCAAGAAACCAATGCTGAAATAACAGCCCTAATCCTGGGGCTAATATAAAAAGGGCAGATTCAGCTCCTTGTTTCTTAAAAGAGTGTTCTTGCCATGTCTTCCCATTCCAGGGCACCAAGAACTACTAATTGTGCAGTTTGTTTTCCTGTTGCTTCAAATCTTACTTAGGCATTGGCTCCACTTCTTACATAAATGAATAAATAACTCAACAATTGCAATAAAAACACAACAAAGAATAAAGTAAGGATTGAATCTCTGAGTTCACAGTAGAATAACATAATTTCCCTTTGCAGGACTGAGACAGTAGGTAAAATTCTTCAAAGTGCCCTAGCTACTTTGGCACCTTATGTGACATTCACAGAAAAGAATTTAAAGCAATTACACAACAGAATTAAATCTCCTAAATAAAACACAATGACTTCGACCATGTCCACTGGTGATATGATTCCATAAGGGAATCATAATTCCCTTCAGTGATTTGAATTTGTCCTAGGGCAGAGTAATTCAGAAGTACATTGCAAGTCAGTGTTGGGATAATGCAGCAATCTAATGCTACCCTTACAAATCCACACAAAGTGAAAGTAAAAATAATGATTTTAAAAAATCAAACACCAAACCCAACCCCCAAACAATACTCAGCTCTGTCTATATTTATAATTAGCACTGGTAACTAACACTTCCTGTGCTGAAGAATGACAATTGTCAAAGTAAAATTCTTTACACTGGAGGTGTAAAGGTTTATTCTGCATACTGTATCTGTGCACTTAGCTCGTTGGAGAGGTAATTGATCAGCACTGCTGTCAGCTTCTGCTGGAGCCCAGCATTTCCCATCACAAGAGCAGTCAGCTGGACAATATCAGTCCAGTCTAAGTTCCTGACAATATCAATGGCTGCATCGTAGAGTTTCTGCTGCTCAGCAGGAGGCAACTCCATTAAAATCTGAGGGACTGGCCTGAAATGTCCAGAAGTCATCCAGGCACCAACCAATCCACCAACTGCTCCTCCTAGGAAAGACAGAGAGTTGTTAGTCTTTACCAGTTAATGTTAAAGCCTGAAATTCTATCCACAGCCTTCATCAACAATGTTCCCACCTTTATTTTGTGCCTTCTTTAACTAGATTTATACACAATATTCATAGAATCTTAGAATTTAGAGGTTGGAATGCACCTTACACATCATCCAGCCCCAACCCCTGCCCTGGGCAGGGACACCTCCTCACTAGATCAGGTTGCTCAAGGCTCATCCAGCCTGGATTGCACACCACCAGAGTTAGGGCAGCCACCACATCCCTGGGCAACCTGTGCCAAAGTTCAAAGCACCAAGAAGGATTTCTGAAGCTCTTTACATCCATCCACAGCAATCACTAAGAAACTCCTTACACAATCAACTCTAATTGCTTCAAGCTAGAGCTAAGAAACAGGACACTCCCTGGGGCACTGGTCTCTTTAGGATAAGCTCTATTACTAAACAAAACCATGCCCAAGGAAAAGCAATTCACAGGACTGGCACTGCAGCCAGAGCACACACAGCCTGGGGGAAGGAAAGAGAACCCTTACAATGGAGAGAGGTCAGAACTGCCCCTGCCTCCAAAACTGTCACCCCCAGCAAATGCCCCTAAAAAGTCATTTCTGCACTCACAGGGATGCAGTTTTTCATCAGACAAAAATTCTGTAATTTGCAGCTTTTACTCAGTTAGCAATTTTACCCACTATACCACAGAAATACTTGAAAGCCTATGATGGCTGAATTCATCTTCAAGGGACTTTTATGAGAACATCAATATGTGATTTAGGGGCACTTAATGCAAAAGCCATGAGAAGTATTGATGGCTAAGCTCCTTGTCCACTGAGACAAGATTTGTTGTGTGATCACACTTTTTCCCCCCAAGCAACACACCCACAATCCATTCTCAGGGCAAGCAGTGCTTAGAAAGCACAACCACTGCAAGTTTCTCCAGTGACCATTGCAGATGGAAGGTAACTCATCCTCTAATTCCTGGTGCAAGGCAGCAAGGAGGACAATCCCTGCTACCCAGTCCCACACTGATCCAGGCTCTTTGTGTAAGTGAAAGTGCATTTGATTGCAAATGTCTTTCTAATTGTGCTAAACCCACTAAAGACCCAAGTTTCCCTTTGCAATTTGAAAGTTAACTGTGGGTGCTAGGGCTTAGTTGCACTGTTATTGGGTCATGGATTTTAGTATACTTAATATCTACTATTCTTATTGCATATACTTATTATTGTGTACTTTTGGTATACAGTAATAAGTTCACTTGTTCCAGTGCCTTCAGCAGTCACTGAAGAACATCAAACTGGACTGGGAGACACTATGAAAGCTTAAACACTTAGGAAAAAGAAAACACATCCAAGAATAACTTCAGTGTTACTCATCATCTCACTCAAGAATGAGGCCACTTATATTACTAGATAATTTCCTTCTGATTTCAACCTTACAAATTTCCTACAAAAGCTTCATTTCCCTTCTTTGTTCCTGATAACTTCAGTCATATGTTTACCAAAATACTATTTTGGCTATTAATTAAGCTTTGTACTTGTAACAGGGGTAAATACACAACTTCATGGTCCATTTTCTGATATCACTCCTCACATAAGATTTGGGTTTCTTTTTGTTACTCAACCTTGCTATAACCTCACACAGGTATATTGCAATTCACTGCAATACCAATAAGCCCATGAAATTGCTGGAACTGCTTGCAGGAGTAAGGAGCATTCAAGGACCAGAGCCACATGACTTTGGTGACAAGACAGCTTTCAAAGGAGACAAACTCTTAACTCCAAAGTTACAGAGGAGAGAGAACTCTTTACTATTACACTTCAGATTTTCTGTAATTTTCCATACCAGGAAAAAAGCAAACTAACAGGTATTAATGAGTGCCAGAGATAAAAAAAGTTCATCAAGCAAAGGGTATCAGGAACTTTTAAAATATAGAAATAAACATTTTTAATAGGATCATCATAAGATGGTCCTGTCCCATGCTAAGGCTGACTAAGAATACTTACACAGCCTCACTGTACACCTCAATTTTCTTTCTTCTGTGCCACCAGGTACCAACATGCCCCTGATTACTACCATCATCTCTGTGCTCCTTTGCCCCTGCCTCAGCCTTTTCACTCCCCACCACAGTGTGGAGCAGAGCTCAGAGCCTGTCAGTTTGTGCTGTGTTTCACCCCACACCTCTGACACTGGTGCACCTCAGCACATGGGAACCAGGGCTCCATACACCAAAACCAAACTATTTGTCAGCAGCTTTCATGGGTTCCAAAGGCACCACTTTCTCAGCCTCACATCTCTGGATGACTCTGCTGCACAGGAGTCAGTCAGCAAGGTCACCATCACACCAGAAGGAATCACTGACACATTCCTTCCTGATGCACACCTCCTTCCTAAACACATGGCACAGAAAACGGCTCCTGTCGAAGCCTAGTTACATGAAACCTCAAGACTGCACATCCCTTTCCTTCAACCCACACAGCTGGGATTGTTCAGCCTGGAGAAGAGGAGGCTCAGGGGAGACCTTATCACCCTCTGCAACTCCCTGACAGGAGGCTGGAGTCAGGTGGGGGTTGGTCTCTGCTCCCAGGCAACCAGCAGCAGGACAAGAGGGCACAGACTCAAGCTCTGCCAGGGGAGGGTTAGGTTGGAGATTAGGAAGAGATTTTTTCCAGAGAGAGTGCTCAGGCATTGGAATGTGCTGCCCAGGGAGGTGGTGGATTCCCCATCCCTGGAGGTTTTCAGGCTGAGACTGGATGTGGCACTTAGTGCCATGGTCTGGTGACCAGGGCAGGGTTGGACTCAATGATCTTGGAGGTTTCTTCCAACCCGGTGGATTCTATGATTCTATGATACACAGACTTCCCAGTTTCTTCACTCAGGGATTTAACCACTTACTTGTCCCTAAAGCAAAACACACTTACCTACAGCGATTCCAGGTGGACCTCCCATCAGACCCCCAAGAAATGCTGATGCACCTGCCAGCAGTGCTCCTCGGCCAGAGTGTTTGACAGCAGCTTTCATCCCCCTCTCCTGGGAGAGACGGCAGAACAGTTGCATCACATCATCCACATGGATGGGCATCTTGGCAAGTTAAGATCCTGGAAAAGATGTTTTAAGTTTCCATCACTCCAACAGAGACTAAATCCAGCTGCTAAGTGACTTTTAGGGGGGTAAAAAAAGTGTTCACGAGTCTGTGAGACTAAAAAGAGAGTGACAGTCAGTAATGCAAACAAAAATTGCTTTTTCTTTCATTTTAGGGGAAAACAAACCCTATTGGCAAACAGCTGAAGGTTACTAAAACAGCAAATGAGACCTCAGAGTAGACTGAGGCTTTATGACAAATTCAGAGATTTTACAGTATCTAATTCCACAGTACATTGCTTTTGCCTTGAGCAATTCCCATGTGTGTTCAGCATTGCACACAACTCCGGGAAAAAGACAAAGCAGAGTCTCTTCTAACACAACTAGCAGATTATAATTGACAAATCTGTCAAATACTTTCTCCTTGTCCTAATTCTTTCCACAAATCAGGAGGTTGTTTTCACATATCAGCTCTTCTCCCCGTTTTGTCACACACTAAAACACTTCCATGCTGATTCTGAAGGCAGGAGGCTGCAGCAACCAAGAGCCTGAGGAAGGGAACAGATTTTAGGAGTCATAGGAGAGGCCTGGGAATAAATGGGGTGCTCTGGAGACATGCAGGGCTGTATGTGTGTGGCAGTCAGCACTCAGAGCAGACACACCAGATGACTCTGATGTACAGGACCACAGCCACGTTACACTCTGTGACATGTCCTCAGCACAGGGCAGAGACCTGTCCCTGACAATGATCCCTCTGAGACCAAAACTCTTCCACCTCATTCATTTGCTGCTGCTGCTCATTAAGTAAATACCTCCCACTCTGCACACCAACTGAGGAAAGGGCCTGCAGGGATAAAAAAAATATTGAGTAAGATGAAAAACATAATCACATACACACAAACAGCAGATTTCCTGTTGTACATGTACTTTCAGCACTATAGAACAGATGAGTGTTTGGTTTTCCAGCCCCTAGAACACTTCTTATCCCAGTGTGTGTGCAATACTTGCTCAGACCAAGTCTTCAAGTCTTTCTTGACTAGATCTCCACAGTGCAAAGTGAAAGGGGAGTGGTATCACACCATTTTTCATACTAAAAATTAACTCAAATGGCTGACTGCAAATCATCATCAGTGCCACCACAGTATCCAAGCACTACTGACACTAAACAAAAGTCTGGGTTTGGGGAAGGGATCACATATGCTCCATAGCTGCAAAGAAGCACAGTAGGAAATTCATCAAAGAGTTGATTTCTCTCACTACTTCATTCATCTTCATGCCAGCCTAAACAAAACATCCAAGTTCATCATTTTACCACTGTGGCTTTTGGGTTTTTGGCAGCCTGATGACACAGCAGTGAAGAGAATGGCAGTGTGTGGTGGTTGGTGACAGCAGAGTGACACATTCTGCTTCCACATTACAGATTATTGCATTCAACATGATACAAGCTCAAAGTAATAAACAAAGGGCTGCTCTGGCCTAGAGCAGTAGGGGAAAAAAAACCCCAAAATATACAACTGGTACAGCTCACACTGCCAGGCCTGGAATGATGGAAAATGAGACTATTAAATGTTTGTTTTGAGCTTCCCAACAAAAGGTGAGCAGATTGCCACTCAGTAACATCCACACCAGCACTCAGCAGCCTTCAGTGCTGCAGGATTCACTTCCTCCCCTCAGTGAGACAGACTTGTGCTTATCCTGCACCTCCAGTGGGACCTGAGACTAACCCAACGTGCTGAAAGGAATTTGAGCCTCCTCTTTGGGCTAAATCCAGAGAACACCTCACACAAGCTCTGCAGCACGGGCAGGACAACACGAGCTGGAGAGCTGACAACACACACAGCTCTGGCTGAGAGCAATATAATCTGCTTTCCCCCAAACGGAGGGAATGCCACAATTTCCTAAACCAATCCAACTGAAACAGAAATGGTGTTTTGTGAGCAGAGACACCCAAGGCTGAAGTGTCAGGCTCCTGCAGTGCTGCCCATGGAAAGCCACCAGCACTGCTCCATCCTCCAAACACACGGCTGACATGGCACTAAGGTGCAGCAGTGCAAAGGTGATCAACTGCTCTGGAGTATCTCTGAACAAATAAAAACCTCTTTCACAACTAGCTTCAAAGTGCAATTAGCTTAAAGGTGAAAAAACCTGGACCGTGATGAAAACAGAAATCACACTGCTACCTGGTGGTGTACAAAGTGTGGGGAACACACATCCACAACTACTTACTCATTAGTCTCAAGCTAAAGCAGAGACATACC